ACAAGCCAGTTAAGATATAAATGTAAAGCAGCGGAGATTTAATTTGATACAAGCCTTCATTGTGGTTTGCATTGTTTTTACTGATGCAACACGAAGACACCATGACTTATAAAAGCATATATTAGTATATATGTAAATGAATCAAGTTTCTTGAGTTGTGTAAAGCCTGAGCAGTACTTTTTACATTTGAGCTAATGATAATTTGACTACTCTACACATATATGATGTTTTACATAGTAGGAATTTAAGCTTTAACAAATAAAACCTGAACATTGAAACTGAATTGAGTTCTTCATAAATTAATGGATGGATTTTGTTGACTTACTGTATCCGACTTTAAATACAAGAAATCAGCCACTTAATTTCCCATCATATGTTAGTTTCTAATTGCTGAATGCAAACTTACTGAATCTAAATTTAGAGAAAATTAAGAGACCTGATCTTAATGTCACCATTGGTATCTTCTCGCATCAGTTTCTTTAAATTTTATTTTACAAATCACACTGTTTGCTTAAAGAGGGACTCATGCATTTTAGAGTCATATATGCCAGCGTTTTACATCGACTGCTGCTCATCTCTGGAATAATTTGTTTGAAGTTTACCAGCTTCAAATCACAACATTAAGCAGCGCATGAGGCAGTATAAAAGAAATGTGTTTTTAAATAGCAGTTTAATCAGATTAAAAATCGTATTAAATCCATGACAGGAATTACTTTGACTGCTTTAATATGATCTTGTTATGAATTTCATTTCCCAAACTTGCAGAGGGAGCACTTAAGCACACAGAGACCCTCCCTCCCGTACTGCACAGAGAAGCCTCATTTAGCAGCTTATAAAGGAATATAGCAGGCCTGTCCCATTCCACCTGCCTGTCTGTGAAGCGAGCTGTTGTCGTTGTTGTTCTTTCTGTTGTTGTTCTAATTGCTGCTGCTGCTTCGCCTCCAGCTTCCCCGCTGAACTCAGACACCTTCTGCCTCACACTTTTCAGCAACATGCAGTTGTGATGACAAGTACTAGAGTTCCCACTCAAACTGCCTGTTCCTATAGCGCCGCACACCACTCCTCACCTCCCTCCCCCACTTTCTCCTCTCTCCCTCACTCTTTGAAGCCTCTGGGATGATGATGACACCCGGCGTAATCGGTGGATGCTCAGCTTCTGACATGACACACAATCGAGAAACCCTTCCGAACTGATCCGGGGTTCGTTGTTGCATTCAGGCGCAGTGCGTCCTCTGACAAGTGGAAAGGCCTTTCACAGGAGAATAGAGGAAGTCAGTGAGGTGGGGCCCGTGATTGACAGCCCTGTTGAGAAAGCAAAGCCAGCTCCTGTTCCTATCTGATCTCTGCTCAGCAGTTGCTCTGCTGACCTGCTTTCTCTCTCTCTCTCTCTCTCTCTCTCTCTCTCTCTCTCTCTCTCTCTCTCTTTAACTGGATCTAAGATCAGCTAATCTTCAGAGGGCTGCTAAGATTAGTTCATCTGCGTTCGAGAAGCTTTGCTTCCACGCAGATTTGGGATTGAGAGGATGTGGGACAGGGATCAAACTTAGGAGGGCTAGAAAGTACCAGTTACAGTTACCCAGTTACTGTATTTAAGTGCAGTTATTGAAGGTTTTTCATACTTCCACTCTACCACATTTTAGTGTAACGTGTTGCATTGTGATGTACTTTGCAGACAGAGTTTTTATATTCAAGACTCATAAACATAAGACAATCAGCTCTACCTTAATTAACTGCAACTTGCAAAATTAAAATGCTGCTTGCATTTCCATGCATCATTAATAATAATGCATATAAACATATCACTGAGGGGCACCATTCTGCTGCATTTTAAATACCTTTACTTTTGATTCTTTCCTTGCTGATCAGCTTTAAGTGAAACTGAGTATTTGTTGGGGAGCATTTCTGCTTTAACACACATTTAGTTTCACTTTAGAAAAGGATTTGGGTGCTTTGTCCATCTGTACTTCAGCGCAGTACGTAATTATTTACATTTGACACAGCTCTGCTACATTTCAGAGTGAAATGTTGTACGTTTACCTGCATACATCTTAGATGTGTTATACATTTTGGAAAAAACTATCCAACACTAAGACAAAAAAAACCCCAAATCAGCTCCACCTTGACTCACTACAAGATTAAATACTGCTTTTACAGATAGGTGACGAATTAAAGGAAAACCTTAAACACCTTAACTCCTACAGCGGGGGTATCTCGGGGCTCTGTTATACAATTAGTGGCATTTTACTGATGTGGTTCTGGTCCACTTGTCCCCTGAGAGGGAAGAGTCACTGCAAATCAATGCAAAGTTGTTTTGGGCGATCAGCTTTATCCACTCAAACATTTCTGTCCTGATGAGAGGGATCTGTTCCGGGATGACGGTGCCCCCATACACAGGGCACGAGTGGTTTGATGAAAATATCATGAGTCATCTGTTATGGCCTTCACAGTCATCGGATCTCAACACAGCTGAACACAGATGGGAGATTTTGGGCCTACGTGTCAGACAGCACTGCCCACTGCCATCATCAAAACAGAAAATAAGGGAATCTCCATGAGAGGAATTGTGTTTAACCTTCCAGGACAGTTCCTGAGAACACCTTAGAAAAAGTCTGTGTTGCCTTTAATGTGTCACTTGTCTGCATGTTGATGAAACAGTACAACCCAATAATGTTTTATATGACAATATAACTCTGACAGAGGCCTCTCTGCCTCTATAGTGAGTGCTTTACTTGTGATGGTTTATTTATGTTTTTGCATAACACTGATATTATTTCATTTTTAACAGGGTATTTTTCCAGTGTGATTTTAATACCGACACCGAAACCGTCAGTACTGGCTCTGGGTGGGGAGTTGTAATACCAGCTGTGTTAGAAAAAATGACTGGAGACATACCAAAAGAGGCAACGGAAGTAGGATGGGACACAGAGTGAGACCAAAAAAAAAAAAAACTCCCCCAGCAGGTTTTACCATCCACGTTCACATTCTCCCCATTCTTGCTTAGCAACAATTTTTGAATGCTGATTCCTTGACTTGTATCTAGAACAAACTGTGCCCGTATACACTCACATCCTGGGAACATAGTATTAAACAAGCCCTGTTTCTATGCCAGCCTTGTCTTTCCACCCTCTATTATATCACTCCTATGAGCCCGTCCCTTAATGCGGTGTGGATCTATTTTAAACCTGATCAGTCAGACGTGGTTTGATTTAGCACCAGACTTGTCGGCAGCATTTCTTTTTGTTGATGGCAGCACAGAGGGAAAAAAAACAAAAAACATGTTTCTACAGTTTCACCTTGACCAGTGGTGTTGACCAAAGCTCACATTTCAGTCCTCCCACCCATGCACGTAATGCATGAAGGACTAATGCACCGGCTATTTCTGATGCAGGGGCTGCGTGGGAGTCCCCCTGTTTACCAGCAGCTGAAGGGTTGAAGGAAATCAGCTATCCACCGACACTGCTGGAAACTGGCTGGTGCAACAGTTTGACTTTAAGTGTAATCTGAAAATCCTGTCAGTGCTGTACCTGGTTTATGGACTGAAGTTGTCCCGGGGGGAAATAACCGGGCCCTTTTATATTTTCTGCCAGTGTGAAAGTGCTGCTCACCCAGTAAAGAGTGCACTTTTATGACACTTTCCTCACATGTTCTATCACAACAGCTGCTTTACAAGTAGACAACAAGGATGTATTCTTTTGGAGAGAGTACTAGTTACTTCACATGCGTTTTCTGCTAATTTGGATTGTTTGAAGGGTGTTTTCTTTTTGAGCATAAGTGGATCTCCTGGTTTGTTTTCACACAGTAACCCTGAAAATGAGCTAAAGGCCAAAAGATCAAAAATTATATTAGGAAACACTGTTGTTAGGGAAGGCTGCACGGTGGGTGGTGTTTGGCACCATTAATGAGGTTAATTGGTGATTCTAAATTGTCTGAAGGTGTGGATGTGAGTGTGCTTGGTTGTCTGTCTCTAAGTGTAGCCCTGTGATAGACTGGTAACCTGTCCAGGGTGTCCCCTGCCTTCACCCTGAGTCGGTTGGGACAGGCTTCAGCCCCCCGCGACTACCTACTCAGGATTAAGTGTCTTATAAATAATGGATAGATGGATGAATGGATGGATGAATGGATGTTCTTAGGGAAAAAAGTGAAATTCACCAGACTATCTGTGTTAGTTTCTTCTATTCCTCTGCATTTCAGAGAAAAATGTTGCACTTTTTTTCAATCAGTGGCAGATTTTTGAGAGTTTTCAGATTAGAATATTACATAAAAATGTAAAAAATATTGTAGAGAATAATAATAAAGTCAGTCCATTCATAAAGATGGAGGTCCCCAGTCCTTTTGGCATGTTTTGGGGGCTCGTTGTCACATTTCAGATGCCTCTGAGTAGTTTCACCAAAAAGAGCCACCTTTCCTAACTACTCAGATGGTTCATTTACATACATTTTAATTCAGATCTGGTTAGTATATTTACATAGCTCACAAAGTTGCCCCAAGTGCTTTACAATCTGTAAAGCTTATATCCTAAGACCCTTGATAAATTCCCTTTAGAAACCTTTTAAAATGGAAAAAGGGTGAGGAGGACCAACTGAAGAGGGATCCCTCTGGCAGGAGAGTCTAATGCAATAGCTGTTGTTTGTACAGATTACACTAAAAATAGACACACTGTAAACATCTACTAATAACATAGACGTGGAAGGGCGCCATGCAACTTCCAGGAGGTACCTCTGCGGACTTTGACTCTATGTAAGCAGTCAATAACTACTCAGACGCTGGAGAGCTCGACCACGTGTTGCTTCTGTTTTCTATCTGTGAAATGCACAATAGTGGCTTTGTCATTGGTGCAACGTCGCCTCGTCCCGCCTCCGAAACGCACACAGTGGTTTGATTGGCTTCACTGCGGAGCCGAGCGGTGGGCTGATAGCCTGGCTGATGAATATTCATGACACCGGTCGGCTCGCATCGGGCCTCACCCTACGTGCCTTAGCTGTCTGGCTCATCGGAACAGAATGTGGGATGTGGTGATGTAATGTCAGCCGTTGCTTTCACCGGAAAAGCAAAACCACAGCGAAACCTGGCAGAACAGCAACGTCGCACAGTAAGTGAAGTTTTGCGATGAGACGGCTGTGCGTAAAGACGCGCGGTGAAGCACTGCGAACATTCAGCTAAAACAAAACCTACCAACCGGAGATTTGTAGTTTTTTTGTTGTTGTTGTTTTGAGAAGTGGAGTTTCCTTTCCGTGAAGTTGCCTCTGCTCGACCTGTCAACTGGAAGCCACTCCTCTGACACTAAATGCGCCAAACCTCTCCGCTCTGCTTGTGTGCTATTTCAGGTCATTTGGGTCCGGTTACACTTGGAAGAACTCGACAAACAGGTTGTGGAACCGCCTTCGGAGCCCGAAACCACCTCTATATAAAGTCGCGCCCGTCTCCACAGCACCAGAAGAACACCAACATTAACAAAAAAAAGGGGAAAACTGAAGAACCGAACCCAGCTTCCAGATTTACAAGACAGCCAATCCTCGCTGCAGCATTACGCTTCCGTAAGCCGATCAGATTAAAAGCAGCGCACTCACAGAGGAAGAACACGTCAAGAAACTGCTTTTTTTTTTTTGTTCCTGACCGGATACAACTCTCGCCAAGATGATGATGCAGCTGTCAGAAACCCCCAGCCCCCAGAAAAACAACCTCTTCAACGCCATGAATCGCTTCATCGGCGCCGTGAACAACATGGACCAGACCGTCATGGTGCCCAGCCTGCTGCGGGACGTTCCGGTGGACGAGGACAGCGAGATGAGCTCCCTGAAGTCGGACTTGGACGAGGGAGACATGTACAGCTACTACCAGCTGCTCAAGTCCATCCGCAGGGACATCGAGTGGGGGGTCCGGTGCGCCGCAGCCGACGAGAGGCGCAAGGAGAGCATGATGATCACCCGCACCAACTCTTCCGTATCCACGTCCTCCTCCGCATCATCCGAGGAGGACGAGGAGGAGGACGAGGATCTGGAGAAGCAGTTCCAGTTCCATCTGACCGGGCTTCAAGGGGTGCTGTCCAAGCTCACGCAGCAGGCCAACTGCCTCACCAAGCGCTACAAAAAGGAGATTGGGATCGGAGGATGGGGCCAGTAAACCCAGAGCGCACAAGACACTCAAAGCTCAGACTTTATATATATATATTTTTTATAACTTGAGAGGCTGAACTGACTTCTATCCATAGGCCTCGCTGCTGCTGATGTTACTACTGATGAAAGGTTTGGATGGTAGAGAAGAAGGCAGCTTTTCCTGTCTACAGGCCTGCATGGTGTTGGTCTACTCTGTGGTACTGACTGTAGATGTGCTGATCCTGAAGAAAGCATTTGTGTACTTCTTACTTGACTCCTGTCCTTTTGCACTCTACAGTGTTGTACACAGTATGCATTCCGCTCATGTGATGCACAGATGAAACATAATTTAAACCTTTATTTAATGTGTATTTATTACCTCACACTGTACATTTGAGAGCCAAATGTTATTTCAAAGTTGGAGAAGAAGTGGACTGTGTGATCTACAGGACCTGTCCTCTGAACCGCCCCTCTGAAGGGGGATGCTGACAAAAGATTGAGCGTCCTGGCTGTGATGCTGATGATGTTAGTGTGTTCAGATGGGCTGCTCTGTGTCTGATCATTGTTCCTTTCAATCTGATGTGTTTTTTTTTTTCAATTGGGCTTTTCTAAGAAGGAGGCAGATGCTTACTGTAGCTGCCCATGATCTCCTAATGTCCTACATGGTCAATGAACTGGAATCAACTGATAATTCTTCTGCGTGTAGAATAATGAGGCTTTTTCCATGAGACGCATTGTTGTTTTTGTCCTATAACCTATTTGCTGTTATCATATTATTATGTCCCATCTGTCAAGATAAGCCAGTGCTTCTCTCTGCACCTTTTACACGGTTTTTGTACTGATATTTGTTTCCAGAATAAACTTTTATATAAACTTACTCCACTTGTGTATTACTTTTGTACACGACTGCACCTAACTACAAAGCAAACAGCACAAAAACTGAAGTAACATGTTTATTTCATAGGATTATTCTTGTGCTCCTTAGTGCAGTGTTAGTACAAGGAAAACCTCACATATAACTGATCTTTTTCCTTTGATCATAAAGAGAAGCCTGTAGGTTATTATTAAATATTCATTCGGTGGTAATGTTAGTCAAAACTTATATGCTACAAATGTTTGAGTATCTTAGTTCTCAATAAACTTGAGAAATCTCAAGTTCTCAAGAGCGAATTGTCATTTATTTATTTTTATTTTTTTACAACATAGACAGATGAACTGTAAGAGGATCTAAGAATCTTAAGAGAAGCAAAGGACCAGGTTATACGGTATAAACTGACAAAATGTCAGACCGTATTAAAGCACCAGGACAGCAGCAGTAATTTAGCCGTCTTTTGTTGGAAGTGCACTCAGCTCCATTCCCCCTTGGCTTTAAAAACAGGTGTTATCTCACAAATTGAATTATTTTTGTTATAATTATTGTGCGCAATCACATTTAGGTGAGCTCTTATCAATTAGATGCTGTATAAGTGCTAATTTTATTCTTTTTTTTAACTATCACATCCGGATATTTCGTTCCAGAATTGGAATACTGTTTTTTTTTTCTTTCTTTTTTTTGCAACATTTGTGTTTGAAGTGTTTGAACTATAAAAATATACAGCTTATGACAAGTAGTATTGTCTCTATTTCCTAACAGCAGTGCCAGAGGAAACACGTCGGCTCTCCTGAGGACTAAAAAAGCAAAAGAAGCCATAAATCTGTTGACTTTATGTTCAAATATATTTGCAACCAATATACTGACAAATATTTGTCAGTGTAAACAGTAATACTGTTGTATTTGTATGTACTGTATGATTAAAAGCTACAACAAGAATAATTTAAAACACCATTAGTTGGATAGATGCAACACTGCTGTCCTAAGACACTTACAATGTTAGATGTGTTTAAGTGAAGAGGCGGATTTAAAATTACCTGCAGGTTGAGGAATGTTGTTTGTCGGTTAAATTCCAATTGACAACACCTTAAACCACTTGAACTGTGAAACAAAAAAGGGATCTGTTCATTAATACTACATGTGTTAAAGCATTTCAAATGCATCCAGAAGAACGTTTTGCTTTATATTCTGTCATTCTGCTTGTGTCACTGAAAATTTCACAGTGCAGAAGCTGCATTATAAAAACAGCAAAAATATCAGTGTGCTGTTTGGTTGCAACCAGCTTTGCATGTTTTATGCTGTAGTCATGGGAGACACTAAGTCTGCAGTGCAATCACTTGTTTGCTTTTTCAATTTCTACATTGAAGTATTTTGAAGAGAATGCAAAGGAGTGCTACGTCTGTTGTATGTGCACGTGTGTGTATGTGTCGTTTTATGTAATACATTGCCAAGAGAGGGAAAAAAAAACAAAATGACAGCTATCCTTCATTGTTTTGTGAGTAACTAACAGTGACAGGCTCAAAGGCCAGCCAATACAGCTGGAGTTTCAGTGTCACAATAGGTCAATAGAGTTCAACACACCCACTTTCCACTTTGATTCTCTCTCTGTCTGTTTTCTTTCTCTCTCTCTCTGACACACACATGCACAAAAACGTAGCACACAATGAGTCAAAATCGTGCACAACTTTTGAATGGAAAGATATAGCTGAGGGATTAAAATGCTGCCTTAGCACATTGCAACAGCAGACACCTAAGACTGACTAATAAAAGATGTAGCCAAACTGTATTTAGCCATACTTTAAAAACCCAGTATTCCTATGTACAATTTATATTTCATGTTGTACTTTGTATTTTATTTACAGCCTACAACAGCATTAAGTACACCACAGTGCACTAAAAAATCTAATGATTCAAAACTGTGTCACCTCCTGATTATTCCATTACTTCTACATTGAACAACAGGTTGTTTGCTTTAAAGTAAACTTTTGATTTACTGTAAATATACAGGCTCCACATTAGGACATAAATGGAACAAGAGTGAATACAACTTTGATTTTTTAAGGGTCAGATCTTTCGTTTTGTTCAGTACTTCGTATGTCCAACTGTATTTTTATTGACAGTCTCAATCCAAATACCAAATTTATGGAGAGATGTTCTCTCATTTTTCAAAGACAAATTTTTCTGCTGTCTGCTGAAGGCGCTGCGCTGCTCTACTTTTCTCTTTAAAATGCCCCATAGTTTTTCTATTGGATTCTAGTCAGACAACATACCATACCATTGTTTGCACTGTTTCATCTGTAGAAACTCTTGTGTCATTTTGATGGTGCGCTTTGGTTTGTTGTTGTGCTGGAATATTCCTCTTCTGCCAAGCTTCTGCACACTGGAAGTCATATTCTCAGCCAGTATTTTGGTAAACCCACACATCCCCAACACCTTTTGCACTCATGCAGCCCCGCATCAACGCACTTCCACCTCAGTGTTTCACTGGCGGGACTATGTATCCACTGTGGTAATTTACAAGTTAATGGCAAACATGCAGGACCCCATCTGAGCTGAACAAATGTATCTTGGTCTCATCTTAGCAAAGAATGTGGTCCTAATGTCAATCAGACTTCTTTTCATGTTCTCTAGCAAATCTTTCTTTTGTATTGTTGTCCTGAAAAGCAAGCAAGGATTTTAGAATTTTTTTGACATAATGAATTGCTCTTCACACTGTCTGAGCTGTCATGGACACTCAGATTTCCACTGATGACCCCTGTGGCAAGTTGAAAGATTTTGCCCATCGTGTTTTCCGAAGTGGGCTGCAAGGTGGTCGGTGGTTAGCACCGTTGCCTTGCAGCAAGAAGGTCGCTGGTTCGCATCCCAGTGAGGACACCCAGGATCTTTCTGAGTGGAGTTTACATGTTCTCCCCGTGCAGCGTGGGTTCTCTCCGGGTTCTCCGGCTTCCTCCCACAAGGTCCAAAAACATGTTGAGGTTAATGGTGATTCTAAATTGTCCATAGGTGTGAATGTGAGTGTGCTTGGTTGTCTGTCTCTAAGTGAATAGAATAGAATAGAATAGAATAGAATAGAATAGAATAGAATAGAATAGGTCTTTATTGATCCCTTCGGTGTGAACCTCAGGGAAATTGTTGCACTAGAAAAACAACACCAACACAACATCAGCAGCAGCAACAACAACAACAACAACAATATTAATATTAATAATAATAACACTGGATACAGTAACAAAATTTGCTGAAGTGCCTAAATATTGCACACAGTCCAGTGATAGAGCATGATGCTCTATCTCACCCCAATGTCCTCACTCCTCACCCCTCGCTCCCTACCTCTCCCCGCTTGCTGCTTCTCCCCCTCCCCCCGAGCTCAGAGTTGAACAGTTTGATGGCTCGGGGGACAAAGGAGTTTTTGTTCCTGTTGGTTTTGCACCTGGGGAGGAGCAGCCTGTCACTGAACTGGCTCCTCTGGGCGATGATGACAGTGTGCAGAGGGTGGCTGGCATCATCCACGATGGCCAGCAGTTTGTTCAGTGCAGCCCTGCGATAGACTGGCGACTTGTCCAGGGTGTCCCCTGCCTTTGCCCTAAGTCAGCTGGGATAGACTCCAGCCCCCCACAACCCTAGTGAGGATTAAGCGATGTATAGATGATGGATGGAGACGTTTTCCAAAGCTACACGCAGCCAGTAGTGCACTGTTTTTGGTGTCATTTTAAGAAGATGACGACTGCAGCTCTGATTCCTGACATCCTGATTACAATTGCAACTGTTTTTCAACAATTTTTAGTCAGTTACTCGTCCTCTTTCTGTCTTTGTAAAGTGTTGGATCTTTGAGTTCCTCTGACAATTCTTTTCTATGCGGAGCAATGATGCAGACATGCAGACAGACACAGCCACATAGGTCCAAAACCAGGAAGGTTCTGGTTGTTATAGGTGATTTTATAATCATGTTTATGTTATGAGGCCACCTGGAAATCACAAGTTTACTTAGTTTTGTTTCAATGATTGTGGCTATCAGTGATCACAGGTTTATTTATTTTTGTTCTACTGAATTTCTACTTTGGGGTTTGTATTTCTAATTGAATCTTTCTAAAGTTTTTGTTTTGTATTGTTCACAAGAGGACATACTCTACTTGTCATCTTGGAAATGATGGAATTATTGAGCGGTGACACCATTTTCAAATATATGGTATTTAGGTTATACAGGTGTGTACACACTTCTCTTGTAAACTATATTTGCTGCCTTGTTTCTGAGAAACTTAAAACTGACTGTTTCTTTTAAAAATGCAGATGAAGCCTGCCAAAGGGAAAAGCACTACTCAAACATCTTGAAACAGACACACCTTGAGAAGTCTTCCTTTGCTCTCATTCAAATTGTTTACAGACTGTGCAATCATTGCTGTTCACATTTAGAGCAAAGGTAACATACTTTGCTGCATGACTGTGAATGAGATAGCAGGTGTCTAAAAACATTGGATAAGATCGACCTTATCATTGGCATTTATTGCTAAAGTGTTTTGTTTTGGCTTTACTCATGTAAATTTACAACATCTGAGGTTAACCTTCAAGGTTAACTGATTTTAAATACATACAAATATCTCATTATAAGACATTCAAAATATGGAATTTGGCATGTTGTTGTTCTGAAAAATGTTACTGGGGTATGTCACGCTCTGTAAAAGTTAGTCAAGAACAACAGAGATGGATTGAGAGTTTGAAAAAGAAGTGACCAACTAAAAATCATTAAAAATCAGCATGTTTGTTGTGAATGTGACTACCAAGGCGAATGCAAAGTCCTGATAGTAAAGTACGGAGGTGGGAGTGTGATGATCTCGGGCTGCATGAGTAAACAAGTGGTGGGGAAATGACTTTCATTGATGGCACTGTGGATGGCTTTGAATATACCAAATAAAGTCTGATAAGATGACTTCTAGTCTCTAGAAGCTTAGCAGAAGAGGAATATGCTAGCATGATAACAATCCAAAGCACCCTGCCAAAATCATACAAGAGTTTCTGAAGAAGAAAAATGGGAAAACTATGTCCCGGCCAAGTATGCTGCCTGACTTGAATCCAGCAGAACACCTTTGGAGTGTTTTTACAGAGGAAAGTTAGTGTAACACAACCCTCCCCAGAAATCTAGTGTCCTCCACAACAAAGAGGATTATATAGCTGGCAAATAAAGCTGAAGATACAAAGTGCTGAAAAACACAAAAGATTTGAATTTTTGTAATGAAATGTGCACTGACTGTTGCTGCATTCATTTCCTACTCTGGGGCCTATATGTTTTAATATGGCAAGTCTAAGCTGTACACAGGGACAAATGCCATGCTGTTCAACTTGGAAGCACTGCAAGTAGTGTAAGTCGATATATTTTTGGATTATTTGACAATAAAGTGATATTGCCTATGGTTGTAGTCCTGTCTTTCCAGGCCTTCGACAGTGTTCGACTCTGGCGTCAGTGACACTTTTTGTCCCTTCGCACACACGGTAGAAACAGGAAGTGCGGAGAAAGCTACAGCAAAACAAAAACAAATTGGAGCGAAATTGTTTGAAAATTGGTTGCGACTCAAAATGGACAATGAAAATACAAAGTCACCGAGTAACGTTTCAAGCTGCGTGTTTTCTAATACAGATTCAAAGGACTATCGATGCGTAAGTAGCTAACGTCAGTGCAACTTCAGTTTGGGCTTCTTTGGCTAATTAGCTAGAGAGCTAAATAACGTTTCGCTCTCAGCTCACTCGGGGGCTTTGCTGCAGGAAGTTAATTATTTACCTGATATTTGTTTTATTGACTGGTCGATTGATTCGGTGGTGAGTGGAGCCCTGACAGCCTCGTGGTTGTTGATGCTAACGGGAGCTGCCAGGCTTTTAACACGCTTGCCTGCGTCGACTGGCCTGTTGAATAGTAACGTTGCATTGCAGCTAATTAGCGTTACGTTAGCTAACAAAATTAGCTTCACTGGATCACATGCAAGTGAAGAGCTAACTCAGCTTATGTGTGTCTGACAAGCTCACTACAGCTAACTGACCTGAACGTTGACAGCCTAGTGTCTTTTGGCTATTCTTACTCAATGAAGCCATGTTGTTATTCCTTTATGTGAAACAGGGCTTTTTCAGAGTTGAGCCTCAGCCACGGGTAAGAAAAGATCATAAAAGATAAACAAAAATAGAGTTCCCTATCTTAAAATTATACGTACCCAGGTTAGCCATTGAAAATGTAAGCTGGAATATTATAGAGAGACTAAAAATACAATCAGAACAGTGATATGAATCAGTTTTATATCATTACTTCAATACATCTTTAAAAGACATGTTGGCCTTTTTGCTCCACTAAATTTACTGAATAGCAATACTCTAAAATAGCTTTGCAGGTTTATATTTCCCCAAATCTGTGATCATTTTATAACATATGACACTTTTTACTTCTCTAAATTAATTTAATAGCAACAGTTACCACTTACTTTTAGGGTTAATATTTTCTAAAACAAAATCTGTCATTTTATAAAACAACAGTTACTTTGCAGATTCATATTTTCCTAACTACGATCTGTGATAATATTAGAAAATGCACAGCTATATAAAGAAATTCATGTTTGCAACATTCAAGTATTGCTGACATGTTGTGCATAAACAATAATGATTCAATAATATAACATTTTAGCCCTCTGTGTAATCCCCATTTTTACTTTTTACACTCTTAATTATAATAAGCTGATGTTATCACTTAAGTGAAAGTTTGAATGATGATCCTGTGTTATAATTTGCTGGGAAATGATCTGAATTACACTGATTCAGTCCAGTTTAGTGACCCTGCCACAGGTATCAACTTTGTGAAGCTTATATTGTAGAGAATGTGTCAGGGAGGTTTTGGATTTAACTAAATCATGTTTAATAAATCCAAGATCTCAGCAGCAGTTGTCCACTCCTGTAGATTCCTCCTGTTTAATATCAGGAGGATTTGCTCCCTCCTCAACAGGGAGATGACTCAGGGGCTCATCTCCTGTTTCCACTCCCGCAGCTCCTCTCTGTGCCACCAGCTCTCTGCAGCTAATAAAAAATACTGATGCATATTTGGTGTTTAACCTTCTCAAATTGCACCTCTCCAATTCTGTGCCCCAAATGCCCCCCATGTTTTTCCTTGTGTCCAGATTAAGACTCTGGTGCTCTTATCTCTAAGCCAAAGCCAAACCGGACACTCTGGCAGCTTCCCTGTCACTTGTCTTCGCTGCTCTGGCCCGTCAGTAGAGAAATTAAGTCCTTACTGTGTTTGGCACAGTTGAGTCACTTCCTGTTTTACGCAACAGACTTAAAGCCCATCTGTTTAAACTACATCGATTAACCCAATGCTGACATCTACGTCAAACATGAAAACTCTCAGCAATTCCTAGAATGTAGATTATTAAATACGTCGCATAGGTTAAAACCATGTGTTTGCATGTTATGCTTGATTGCACTGAGCTGTTGTTTAAGTTGTTCTGTCCACAACAACAGCAGCCCTTTTCAACACAGTGCAGCCAAATGCAGGAACAGAAACCCTCGACTAAAAGCTTGTTGAACGAACAGCTCTCTGCAAAACTGAACTTGAACTAGATTGCACTGAATTTCCAGGTGCTTGTGGTATCCACACCCTGTCGATTTGCATAAAGGTTGATGAATAAACCTTTCAATACCTGCCCTACCTCCATAATAACATAGTTAGCAAATACCCGACTTGGATCCGTTATAGCTTGTTGCTAAATCAAGTTTGACATACGTTGGGTATGTAAGAGTCCAGAGACTGAATCAACACCGTCTCTGGTGCAGTAAACGTGTTAACGCGAGTAGATGTGGTTTTACGTGCCAGCAGCATCAGGCTCCAGGTAATCATTGGTTGTCCCGGCTGAGCTATATAAATGGAGGAATGCTGCAGTAATGCTGTCCTGCCTGGAGCCCAGATCTCATATTTACTGACAAGTAATCGCTCATAACTGCCAGCAATTGATCACAATGTACTATACATAGTGTGACAAACAAAAAGATGACCCACATTGACTAATGCAGCTAACCTAGTTTGAGTTTTGTATCAACCTGAGAAGGCAAAAATATTCATATATTCGTTTATTTTCTGCAGTCTCCCATATTGTTTACGGCTGTGGACCTAATATTCATGAATTAGGTGTTTGCATGTGTTTATAGTGAAAACAAACAAGCTAATGCATCTGAATTCTGACATGCCTGCCAACATCCTTTTATTTGCGAGTCGAGCAACACTTGTCAGAGATTAAAGTATTGATTCATCATTCGTGTTCATTAATCCAGAATTATGTTTCCATAAAAATATTTATTTGCAGGTTGGTTGTCAGCTCGGCCTCCTGGTGTTATTTGGAATTTTGTATTAGGATATTTTAACCCTGCTAATCACCTTAGTAAATTCAGTTATATGATTAGTAAATTAACTGATTAGTCAATCAACTGAAAATTAATCAGCAATATTATATTTTGTTAATTGATTAGTCATGCAAAAATACCAAACGTTTCCTGTTTCCAGCTTCCTAATTGTGAGGATTTGTTGCTTGTCTTTTGCTTATAAAGTAAAAAAAAAACAACAACCAAAAGACATATTTTTAGGGTTGAAGAGTTGCTCAGACTAAATTGTTTTCAACTTTACTGTTTTAAAATACCATTTCAGTTTTGACAAAGTTATCGTTGTCACAGATAACACTAGGTTACAAAAAATACTTTTTTGAAGGTGTCTAGGATTTTTTAGCTGATTTAGGACATTTTTGCAACGTTGAATCCAAAAATGACATCGGCTTTTCTGTATCAGGTCAGGTTTTTATGCCAACTCGATTTTTAAAAATCGATTTTACAACTAAATCGATTACATTTTTTGACAATAGCGATTGATTTATTTTAGTATTTCTCATATGAAATCAGATTTTAGAGGGGAAAAAAACATTTTCTAATCCTTTTCATTAGCTAAATGATCCAAAAGTTGATGAGCGTAAACATCTGTAAAGGTAAATACAAGTAAATTGCATGTTTCATCAAATCAAAATTTTGACCTCATTGAGCAAAACCAATGTAATATTTGGATTCAGCACATTGCAATTGTCCAAAATCAGCTCAAAAAACTTTGACACCAAAATGGGTGTAGACCAGTGTAATTGGTAGAACAATCGATAGTAAACAACTGCACCTTTTTCATTTCACTCATTCCAGGTCAGCTCTCAGATCTGTGATAAAATAAGGCTGTTCCGACACAAAGTTCATGACTCATCCTTTCTTGGTATTTAGAATCTGAAACCATGATAGCGCGGTATATTCACATGAGCAGATGTTTGTGTGACCTGCATTTCACGAGGAGAAAATCCTATCCCAAAACTGGCATGCCCAACTTCCCAAAAACCAAGATCATTCATGCACTATTTATGAAGCGATTTGAAACAAAGTGCGTAGTCTGAGCCTTTTTAACATTCCTGCAATGCCACGCTGGGAGCCATCATTCAAATGTAATTAAAACAGTAATAAACAGGTAAAAAGCCTCAGAGAAAAAAATGTCTGCAGAATATGCCTCTTAGTAAATTTTCTGTCTGCATCTTGAAATCTTACACTCCAGCAAAAACTAATTTTTGTATGAAATCTGAAACACACTCCCAAACACTGAAAGAACATTGAAGAATTTCTTGTGTTTTTTTTTTTTTTTCCAAAAGATGGTTCCGCTTTCTATGTAGGGCAAAACATGACGCAACACTGTTTTTTCAGAAGTGATTATAGGTTATCGGACTGATCGGAGGCAGTCCTTGTTGTTTTGACTGTTCCGCGACACTTGTGTAGGATGTGTGCGAGAGGCCACATAGTTATGTTGCACATCTGATTGTGTGGACATGCCCCTCGCTATTTTGCATGCAAGACTGCTGCTGGCCCATTCATTTTCCCCGAAGCTCGCAGGACTGACTCACACATTTCTCATTCTCATCATTCCGTAGTTCTTTTGCTTTCTTTTCTTCTATCTCTCTTCGTTCTCTGACATGAGTTTCTGGTTTTTTAACGAAGTATAGCGAGTGTCACTGTTAATGCATGTGCCTATATCTTCAGTTAATTTCACTCAGCTGCCATTTAACAGCCCTCTGAGTTTACAGCATGTTAAAAATGGGTTGAATACATGTGGATGTGACATTCATAAATACCGTCGATGTCTTAGGTGTCAGTACACTGCCGGTGTTTATGCTTAGATTACCTGAAGTGTATGCAAATTGCAAAATTGCAAATTTTGTCGTCCTTCTTTTCCTCGACTTGCACACATGTTTGCATATATATACACAAACACACAGAAAACACCCTTGAACACATGGCAGTCTTGTCAACCCGGTAGTTTCTAAACTTATGATTATAATGATGGCAGTACAGGATTTTGGACTGCACTCCTCAACGTATTTCCACACTGCTTTACTTACAACAAATACAATACAAAGAGCCTGCATGAGACAGTTAACCACTTTAATATGTTGTTCTTATGATTAGTGGTTATGAGCCATGGAATAATGCACTGTTTCTAATTCACAGGTGGTGATTTTAACAGTAAAACGAGCCACGGGAACCTTCTCCTTAGTAGGATGGTGAATATTTCTTTGAATTATATCTCTCTCAAATATGTTTTCTTTTATCGTGAACTCTTGAATATTTTTTTGCCATAAACTGTTGATCATAGCTAAATATGATTTAGGGATATACAAATTTGCAGTACTGTGCAAAAAAAATAAAAAATTCAGGCACTAGAACTAAAGTAAGCTTTCAAAACCAATGCCATGATTAGTTTTTTTATCAGTTAGCATCATACAAAAGTGAAATAAACAGAAAGGAACATTCTCTGTAGAGATGATCAGTCTTTTTCTCTGAAACAATAATTCCCAGAGGTGCATTCAAGCACGCTTTCCAGGTACTGTAGGTTGCTTGTTTCTAGCATCTTGGACAACTTGCCACAGCTTCTCTATGGATTTAAGCTCTCTTAATGTAATTCCAGACTGACGCGTTAATTTCGAGATATGTGGTGTGTTCAAAACATCCTGTAAATTAAAGGTTTGAACTAACTAATCTAGTAAGACAAATTCTTAAAAATAAAGGGTGTCAGACTATCGAAAGAGTCATTTGCTCATCATTTTAACTTAAAAAGTAGCTCCTCAGTGTGCGTGAAGTGGGAAGAATTCCAACACCTGCTCACAATTACGTAGCTGCTGCAGAAATGCATCTTGTTGAGCCGATGTTTTGGAAAAATACAACGATAAATAACTTTCAAAAGCGCATTCTGACGGCAGCCTCCTAATAAGGATTCAGCCGACGTATCAAACAAATCCCGTAACGCTGGAGACGGTACTTTTAAAAAATTCTGTTTCCCTTGGACAACAAATAAAACACTGTTTGCAGTGCTCATGATTTCAGCTTCGGCAGAATTATTCATCAAACCAAAAATTCAACCTTCAGATCCCAGTTTGTTTGACAGTTCATTAAGAGCACGTTGAATTACCACCAACTGCACTGAATAGAAAAATAAAGTTCATTTCATGGCCAACCCTGAATATGTGGTAGAATCAGCGCTGTGTGTAAATCTTTTGCGTCAAAAATAAAAATATGCGAAAATATTGCGCGTCAGTAGTATGAGATGATAAATAATATGATGAGTCTCTCTGATGATATTATGTTATTGATAAAAATCTAAACGCTTCAAGTGTCTGAAACCTTTTCACAGTGATGCATATTGGGCTTTGTTTTGCCTGTAATTGGATATGCATGAATATATAAGTCTAACTGGTACACGGAATAGCATCAAGACAACTTTGGTGATGTTTTCCACAATCAATATTATAATAGATGTCATTGCAGGTGGATCAGTTCAATATAACAGGAACACAGTATTCAATATATATATATTTGGCAGCTGTGGCTCAAGTGGTAGAGCGGGTTGTCCTCTGATCGCAAGGTTCGATCCCACGCCCCTCCACAGGCAAAGTGTCCATAGGCAAGACACTGAACCTGAAGTTGCTCCTGATGGCAGCTCTGTCGCCATTGGTGTATGAATGTGTGTGTGTGGATGGATGAATAAGAAACACATTGTACAGCGCTGTGGATAAAAGCGCAATATAAGTGCAGACCATTTACCATTTAAATACTATATTTATAAGACTTTCAGATGTTGTTAGGCTGTGTCAAAGGGATGTTGATTGACTGATCAACTTGGTCACACTCTGCATGTCAGATTTTTTTTTGTCAAATGCTGTAACTGTGGTTTATGCTGCTTGTAAAATGTATTTCTGGATAGAAGAAAGTGTTTTGAATAGACGTGAGCGCAACAATAGTCCTGGTGATTTACATTGAAAATATTACTGAAATGGAATGATTTGCATTTCTGAAGTTCATTTCAGGAAACATTGACTGCTGGAGAGCACATCAGTTTAACAGGAAAATAATTTTGGAAGTGTGACATATCAAAGTTTTAATTGTCAGTTATGTGTTTTAGAGCTGGCATCTGGTAGGTATTAGATAAACTGCGTTGACTTTTACTACATTTAGCCAAGGTTGTGCTCTTTTGGCAGGGATTCAGTCCTTTAACTGTTTCTAAGTGGGTCTTTATGTAGTTCTTTTTCTGTAAAAAAAAAAAACCCAAACCATGCAGGTTTCATTAATTTCAGCCGAAACAAGCTTTCATGGGCTGTGATATTACAACAAGCTAAAGAATATCCGCACTTAGAGTACAGTTAGTGTACAAGAGAGCCTGCAGGGATCTGTGTTGGAGTTGTAATGATATATCGAGCAGTAATTGGCCTGCAGTACTCAAATTGTTGGCCCTTCCAATTAGCAAATCACGCCTTTCTTTCTCTTCTCCCTCCTCAGCGTTTTCATGCTGTTTGTGATCTGGCTGCTCCGACGGTATCACTCCTTGGCTCAGGTAAATTTGTACTACAAAGTACAGTTTTGACACTTCTTTTCGTTTTTCTGTTTTGCTTCATTACCGGAAATATGCTCAATTAGTCATGGCAAATCTTGGCATAATTGAACCCAATTAAATTGCACAGATTAACGAATTGTGGAGTTAATTGACTTATGGTCATTTTGTGATAGCGGCTGCCGTCTTGTACTTTTTCTCCGCTCCAAATGAAGGGCTCTAAATAAATATTAAATGCACTGAATATAAATGAAATAATCTTAGTTCCTCGACTTCTTTTACACAAAAGGATTTCAATTTTCTACAGTACACCAGTGTTTCTTTATGGTGCGCCGCTTGTGGGTGTTTTCGTGTTTTGGAAGCCAGTCCAGCAGGTCTGCCAGGTTCAGCAGCGCTTCACGTTATCCTCCTAATCTGAAGTAAATGACAGCTTAACGTGGGGCTCTGATGGATCCTATTACCTCTGGACCGGGTTGCAGAGAGCGACCTCACGTCCGCCTCGTCTTCCTCCCCCTCCTCTTCTGCCTCCCCCTCCTCTTACACCACGTAAACCCTCTCCTTACGTCCATCCACTCACAAAGGTTATCTGTCAGTCAATAGTCTTTAGTGCTCTCAAGGCCCTGCTGCGCTCTTTTTCTGTCTCCGCCTCCCCCTCCTCGTCTTCCTCATCCCCCTCGTCCTCTGTAGCCTTGGCAGGGTCATTGCTGGACACAAATTGATACAGAGTTGTGTGTGTGTTTGTGTGCGCAGCCACATTGTGTTACCACCTCTCTAGGCAAAGTTTGACTAAGACCAACATCTGCTGTGCATCAAACCTCCCCCATCAGGATTCTGTAGCGTACAGATTATTGATTCATTTCATAAATAATACAATAAGTTGAGTCTATATAGAGCGAAAATAAGGAGACTCTCCTCTGTGATATTTTCACAGAGTTGTCACCAGGGATGGCGTATGCCAAGCTGTCAGCCACATCAGTGATCATTTCAGCTATAATTTGCCCTTCTCGCTAAGTGAATATAAATGCACTGCCGTTTTTACTGGCGATGTTCAGTTAGAGACTCCTTCTTAATGTCTTTTTATTAATTTTCACTGTACAGAAGATGATTCTGAGCCTGACTGTAGCTGCCTTCTTCGACAGCATGGCGTATGTCATGGTGAGTTACTTTTTGTCTGTTTCACTAAACTCACACAATGGCTTTTTTTTGGCGGGGTTGTAAAAAAAAAAAAATAATGTTTTTCTGTGCTGCTCTTCTTTCGCTCTCCAGGGTGAGAGCCATCCAGAGGGATCGCTTTGTAAATTCCAAGCCTGGTGGCTAACATATTTTGGTAAGAAAAAACTTAATTAACCAGTCTCTGGCACAGTTTACACAATGGAGATGAGTAAGCAGCAAACAGAGATCCATCTGATGGAGAGCTCATTTATTAAAAAATAGTTTATCTTTTTGTTTTTGGCTTGAGAGCTAAATGTGCATGGCATGGAAGGACTTAATTCCAGAAGAGGTATAAGCTAGAAAGTGAGTTTTTAAATGATAAAGGGATTTAATTAAGTCACTACTGTGTTTGTTTAAATGGCTATCAACACCCTGCAGGTGTATATTGGAAAGGACATTGGTGTTGATGATTAGTGCAGCTGTTAAAACTTTGTTTTCTCACCATATCGTGCTGTATTGTTGTATACACTCCTGATCAAAATCAAAAACTGCATGAATTTTCATTTTGCACTGTTGGATCTTAGGAAGGTTCTAAGTAGAGCATCAAAATGCAAAAAGAAGAAATGGGAACAAGAGACCAAAAGTTGTGAGTCGGCAATTTATTGAAAACAATAATTTAACTCCAATAGGCTGTTCATCAGCTGATCAAAAGTTTAAGACCACAGCCTTTAAAAGCCAAAATCTGTGCAAAAATTTGGATTCCATGTCATTTCCTGTCAAGTAATCACACTGTGAAGATCTCTTGATGACAAAGGCAAAAAAGCTCACCGTCTTTGAACGTGGTAGGGTTGTTGAGCTGCATAAATAAGGCCTCTCACAACGTGCCATCGCTGCTGAGATTGGATGGAGTAAGACAGTCATTTTGCATTTCTTAAAAGATCCTCAGGGTTATGGAACAAACAAAAATCAAGTGGTAGACCCAAGAAAATCTCACCAGCGCTGAGCCGGAGGATCCCAATGACTGTCTGTCAAGACACAGGACGATCCTCGTCCCCAATTGAGGCCAATACTTGTTCTGACTGCAGCCCAATAACCATCAGACGGCATCTGCGAAGGAAGGGCTTCAAAAACAAGAAATGTCTTCAAAGGCCACGTCTTCTTCAATGCCACAAAACTGCCCGTTTGGACTTTGCAAGGGAGCACTAAACGTGGGACATTCAAAGGTGGAAGAAAGGTTTATTCTCTGACGAGAAAAAATGTAACCTTGATGGTCCTGATGGCTTCCAACGTTACTGGCATGACAAGGAGATGCCACCTGAGATGTTTTCTACGCGGCACAGTGGAGGGGCCGCCATCATGATCTGGGGTGCTTTTTCCTTCAATCGAACAATGGAGCTCCAGGTTGTGCAGGGGTGTCAAATAGGAGCTGGCTATGTGGAGATTTTGGGGCATCCCTCATGACTGACGGCCCTCGTCTGTGTGGTAACGACTGGGTTTTTCAGCAGGACAACGTTCCAATTCACAATGCCCGTCTGACCTTTTCCCAGGAGAATATCATCACTCTTTTGGACCATCCTGCGTGTTCCCCTGGTCTTAATCCAATTGAGAACATTTGGGGATGGATGGCAAGGGAAGTTTACAAAAATGGACATCACTTCCAGACAGTGGAAGCCCTTCGTGAAGCCATCTTCACCACTTGGAGCAACATTCCCACCAGCCTTTTGGAAACACTTGCATCAAGCATGCCAAAATGAATTTTTGAAGTGGTCAACAATAATGGTGGAGCTACTCATTCCTGAGTCAGTTTTTGACAATTTAATTTCTGTTTTAGGAGGTTTTTGGTTTTTTTTTTTTTTGAGCTGTGGTATTAAACTTTTGATCAGCTGATGAACAGCCAATCAGAGTTAAATTATTGTTTTCAATAAATTGCCGACTCACAACTTTTGGTCTCTTGTTCCCATTTCTTCTTTTTGCATTTTGAAGCTCTACTTAGAACCTTCCTAAGATCCAACAGTGCAAAATGCAAATTCATGCAGTTTTTTTTAACTGGTCTTAAGATTTTGATCAGGAGTGTACATGGATATATGTTTTCTGTTGCATTCAAGAGTGAATTTGTTGGTTATTTACCTTATAAAGCAGCGGGTGCTATCCCTGAATTCTCAAAAAAAACAAAAAAAAAACGGTGGAGGATATTTGTTGATTATGTTGTGGATCAGCTTGTCATCTTTTATACATATTCACACACCCATACTGAGAATACCACACCTCCTACAAGTGATGTAACAGTTAAGTCAATGACTGTGCTGTGTGGTTTTGGTGTATTGCAACCTTTTCACTACACCACCCTCAAACCTCAGCGTTTCATCACCTTCCCCCTGTATGAGGAGATGATTTCCCTCCTATGACAGTGCAGGATTCCACCATTTAATTTGGCGTAATCAGGCACACGGGTTTCCAAATTGGTGGGAAGTGGACCGATTTTTGCAATTCAGACAGCCAAGGCAGAATTGCTTTTACGCTAAGAATGTTGGTTTTATTTGCATCGCTCGCATTTGTCGCAATTAAAGCTCTTTTAGCCTTAATTAGCGTAAGGATTCTTAGTTAGGACTGGCTGCTAATACGACACTTCACCAGGCTTGTTTTATTGGTCTCGCTGGCAGACACACACCTGCGCACGCACTCACACACACACACAC